CAGGAGTATTTTTTATTTTTACATATTTCTGAATTTCCAGATTTTCCTTCTGTTACTGATTTCTTCATTTCATGTGGTCAGAGATAATGTATTGTATTATTTTAATCCTTTTAAGTTTATTAAGGCTTGTTTTGTGGACCAACATATGGTCTTAGAGAATGTTCCATGTATATTTGAGAAAATGTGTTGCCCTTCTGTTTTTGGTTGAAGTTTTTGTTCTGTAGATGTCTTTTCCATCTAGTTAGCTTATACTACTTTTCAAGTCTTCTGTGTTCTTGTTAATCTTTTGCTTAATTGTCCTCCTATTCATTATTGAAAGTGGGATATTGAAGTCCCCAGATATTACTACTGAATTGTCTATTTGTCCCTGCAGTTCAGTTTTTGCTTCATGTATTTTGGGGCTTTTTTTTTCTTTTCTTTGAGGACTTTCTTGTTAGGTGTATATACATTTTTTTTTTTTTTTTTTTTTTGGAGACAGAGTCTCGCTCTGTTGCCCTGGCTGGAGTGCAGTGGTGCAATCTCAGCTCACTGCAACCTCTGCCTCCCACATTCCATTGATTCTCCAGCCTCCCACGTAGCTGGGACTATAGGCATGCACCACCATGCCCGGCTAATTTTGTATTTTTAGTAGAGACAGGGTTTCACCATGTTGGCCAGGCTGGTCTCAAACTCCTGACCTCAGGTGATCCTCCTGCCTCAACCTCTCAAAGTGCTGGGATTACAGGCATGAGCCGAGCCACCTTACCCAGCCTGTGTATACATTTTTAATTGTTACGTCTTCCTGACCAATTGAATCTTGTTCTAAAGTGTCATTCTCTGTCTCTAGACAATTTTGTGTCATATTAGTATAATCACTCCAGCTTTATTTTGATTACTGTTTGCATGGTACACCTTTTTCTCCATCCTTTTACTTTCTGCCTTTGTATCTTTGAATCTAAAGTGTGTATCATGTAGACAGCAAATTGGATCATGTGTTTTTAAATTCAACCTGACATTCTCTACTACAATACTTTCTGTTTTTTGATTTATATCTTCTGGGTTTTTTTTCTTTTATTCTTTCTCTTTTACTGCCTTTTTTTATATTAAACATATGTTTTCTAGTGTAACATACTAATTCCTTTAATGACTCTTTAATTGTATTCTTTTTTTTTTAGTTATTTTCCTAGTGGTTTTTCCAGGCCTTACAATATACATCTTATAAAAATTTACTGGTGGGGCACAGTGCTCACACCTGTAATCCCAGCACTTTGGGAGGCCGAGGTGAACAGATCACTTGAGGTCAGGAGTTCAAGACCAGCCTGGCCAATATGATGAAACTCCATCTCTACCAACAATACAAAAATTAGCCGGGCATGGTGGCACATGCCTGTAATCCGAGCTACTTGAGAGGCTGAGGTGGGAGAACTGCTTGCACCCCAGGTGGCAGAGGTTGCAGTGAACCAATATCGTGCCACTGTGCTCCAGCCTGGGTGATAAAGTGAGACTCCGTCTCAACAAAAGAAAATTTACCTAAGATTTATCCTGATTTATTCTAAAGAAATACAGAAACTTTAATTCTATATAAATCCATTTCCTTCCTCCCTTTTTTGGCTATTCTTATTATACATAGTCCATCTATATATATTAGAAACCCAATAATAAATTGTCATAATTATACTGGAGATAATCTTTTTTAGGCACTGAGAAAAGAAAAGAAAGCAAGTATGTATTTATAGAGTTTGTTATAATACTCTTCCTATTTACCATTTTTTGGTTCTCTTCATTTCTTCCTGTGGATTCGAATTGCCATCTGGTATCATTCCTATACTCAAATACAGCTTGTCTTTCACTCACTTTTTTTGTGCTTATTGTCAAATATATTACATTTCTATGTTATTGACCCAACAATTCAGTAACATATATATTGTTTTATGTATTTGCTTTTTAAATCAGTTGAGAAGGGATAAGTAAATATATAATTACACTTTTATTATTACCTACAAATTACCTTTACTGGCACTCTGTTTTTTCACGTAAATTCAAATTACCCTGTGGTGTCATTTTGCTTTTAGCTTGATGAACTTCCTTTAGTAGGCAGGTCTGATAGCAACAGATTTCCTCAGGTGGCTCATGCCTGTAAACCCAGCATTTTGGGAGGCTGAAGCAAGAAGATTTTGAGCCCCGGAGTTTGAGGTTACAGTGAGCAATGTAAGATTCTTGTTTGATAGTTTTTTACTTTCAGCATTTTGACCATGTCATCCCACTACCTTCTGGCCTCCATTGTGAGCCAGATGATGATAAGAGTAATCATTAATTTTATTGGATTTTCTTGTATGTAATGAACTACTTTTCTTTTACTACTTTCATGATTTTCTTTTTATCCTTGGCTTTCAGCATTTTTCCTATGATGAATCCATGTGTGGATCTCTTTGCATTTATCCTATTTAGAGTTCGTTGAACTTTTTGGATGTGTAAATTACGTTTTTCATCAAATTGGGCAAGTTGGGAGTTTCTTGGGGGTTTGTTTTGTTTTTTGAGATGGAGTCTTGTTCTGTCACCCAGGCTGGAGTGCAGTGGCACAATCTTGGCTCACTATAAGTTCCGCCTCCCAGGTTCAAGTGATTCTTCTGCCTCAGCCTCCCAAGTAACTGGGGCTACAGGCACGTAACCACGCCCGGCTAATTTTTTTATTTTTTGTAGAAAGGGGATTTCACCATACTGGCCAGGCTGGTCTCAAACTCCTGACTTCATGATCTGCCTGCCTCAGCCTCCCAGAGTTCTGGGATTACAGCCGTGAGCCACCGTGCCTGGCCAAATTGAGCACATTTTTAGCTATTATTTCTCCTGAATTTTTCTGCTTTTTCCTCTGCTATCTTGATCTTGGTTACTCCCATTACACACATGTCAGTATATTTAATGATATCCCATACTGCTCTCAGGCTCTGTTCATTTTTTTTCTCTTTTTTTTTTTTGAGACTGAGTTTCATTCTTGTTGCCAGGCCGGAGTGCGATGGCATGATCTTGGCTCACTGCAACCTCCCACCTCCCAGGTTCAAGTGATTCTCCTGCCTTAGCCTCCCAAGTATCTGGGATCACAGGTGCCTGCCACCATGCCCAGCTAATTTTTTTTGTATTTTTTGTACAGACGAGGTTTCACCATGCTGGCCAGGCAGTCTCAAACTCCTAATCTCAGATAATCCACCCACCTCAGCTTCCCAAAGTGCTGGGATTACAGGAGTGAGCCACTGCACCCAGTCTTCTGTTCATTTTTCTTTTTTCTTTCTCTTCACATGGCATCTTGATATGTCTTCCAAGTGTGGTGTTTCTTGCTTTTGTAAGCTCAGATCTACTGTTAAGCCCTATAGTAATTTTTAAATTTTTATTATACTTTCAACTGCATAATTTCCATTGGTTCTCTTTTTTTAATTCATATTCTTTATTTCATGAGAGATATTGTCATCATACCGTCCACTTTTAATTAGATATGATTTTCTTTAGTTCTTTGAACATAAAATGCTCCTGGATTTAAGATGTGGTTATATCCTAATAAACCTCATTATAAGTTGAAAATATTGTAAGTCAAAAATGCATTTAACACACCTAATCTACCAAAAATCACAGAATATTACAGCCTACCTTTAAGTGCGGGATACTTACAATTAGCCTCTAGTTTGACAATATCATCTAACACAAAGCCTGTTTTATAATGAAATGTCAAATATCTTATGAAATTTGTTGAATTCTATACTAAAATTACAAAACAAAATGGTTGCATGGGTACTTACCATTAATGTACACAGCTAAAAGCACTATTATAAAGTAAAAAAAAAAAAAACAAATCAAACCATTGTAAGTTGGGGACTTTGTATGTATAATCATTGCTTTGAAATCTTTGTGGGCCAAGTTGTTGCTGCTTGCTCTTTTTTCAATGTATCCACCACATTTTCCTGTTACTTTGTATGTCTCATAATTTTTTCTGAAAACTGGACATGCAGCCAGGTACTGTGGCTCACACCTGTAATCCCAGCTCTTTGGGAGGCCGAGGCGGACCAATCACTTGAGCTCACAAGTTCAAGACCAGCCTGGGCAACATGGCAAAATCCTGCCTCTACAAAAATACAAAAATTAGCTGGGCATGGTGGTATGTGCCTGTAGTCCCAGCTACTCGGGAGACTGAGGTGGGAGGGATGACTTGAGCCTGGGAGGTAAAGGTTGCAGTGAGCCAAGATTGCACCACTGCACTCCAGCCTGGGTGACAGAGTGAGACCTTGTCCTAAGGGAAAAAAAAAAAAAATATATATATATATATATATATATATATATCACAAAAATGATCTATTATGAAATAATAATATCTACTGTTTGCTAGTTATCTGCCCTCTAGAGGTTGATATTATTTTTTTGTTGCTCATTTATTTGTTTAGTTACTTGGATGAACAAACTCTGAAATCTATTTCCTCTGCCTTGTGCAGCCTCTGATGTCTTTGCTCAGATCCTTTTTCCTTGGTTTTTATCATTTGTCTTGGCTACTGAGGGGACACTCCTGGGTTAGCATAAGCCATTTACTGATCAGAGGTTCCGCTGAAGCCCCTTAGTAAGTTAGGTTTAACCTTTACTGTTAGATATATGTATGGCTTGCAAGCTACTTTCATAATTCAGGGTATTTACTTTTTTGACCCACATTTTAGGCCAAGGACTAGCAGCTTGGAAGATACTTCTCTGATTGTTCCTGAGAAGGGCAGGCTTGGGTGTGCACAGTCTTCAGACAACCAGGAAAGCACATTATTTTATTTTAAGCCTGGCTTCCTAGGAGTTGCTCCTAGGTTTAAGCCTGGATAAGAATAGCTTTTTGTTCAGCCAGTGTTTGGTGAGAGGTTGTGTTTAAACCACTTTTGCCAGTGAAGCTTCCTCCCTATGTTGATAGATCTGTATGTGGCTTGGGGAATGCTTTCAAGTCTGCCTCATTCATTCCCTTCCCTTATTTGCCCATGAGTAAATGCAGCTTAGGATATGTGCACAGCTTTCCCAACTCCCAGGACTTTTTAAATTTTATTTTTTAACCTGTTCCAAATATGCTTAATGGATAAACAGATAAGTTCACAAAATTTGAAACCTATAAACAAAAGAAACTTTAAGCACAGCAATTACTTAAGCAGATCAATAACAATAAAATGTTATCTTTCATATAAGAAGAAACATAGGAAATGCCAAGTTAGCTCAACAACCTATTAATAACCATCAAAGATTGGTGATAAAGCATTCTTTCAGTGCTGAGATATAGATATAGATATAGATACATATGCACAGTGGAGGATTTGGAGGCTGTATTCAGATGAATCGAACGGAGCTACTGAAATGAAGAATCACTTTGCTTTTTAAGCTTTTTTCCTTCCTTTTAAAAAATAATATATATTTAAGGTGTATATATGATGTTTCGATAAACATTTATGTTGTAAAATGATTACTACAGTCAAATAGTTAACATGTCCAACTCCCAGGATTGACTGTGACTCCAGGCGGTTCCTCTTGGCTGTCTCTTTCTCTGGTTTTCTCTGTTGAACTTCCGGCTGCTTTGCTCTGTCATTTGTTGCTGCTAGTGTCAAAGAACTACCAGCACCCTCTCATTTGCACTCCTTCAAGATCTCTGTTGTCAATACCCTTAAGAAAGGAATTTTCTACATTTCATTCCAAATAAAGTCATCACCACCACTTTTCCTCCTCACTCCTCTCTCCAGCTGGAGAGTTTCTTCTTTATAGTCCGCCTCAGCTACCAGGCAGAACTTGAACTTTTATGCCACTGAAATGAGGAGGAGGGCAGAATAGGATGGGATGGGACAGCATCCTTCTTCTCCCAGAACAACACCTCTGGCTCTTTGAGCAGGGGAGAGGGTGGATAACTCCTGGTTCTCAGCTTGCCCTAGGCATGGAATCTCTCAACAGGGAGTTTGAGGTGGGGCATTCAGGGCCCCAGTGTTCTCAGCCGGCTGTGCCCAGGGTATGTTTTACCCTAGGAATGGAGGCTAGGTGGGATAACAGGAGCTTCGTTTTTCTTGGTTGCTGTTCAGAATAGAATTTACACAACACAGGGCTGGGAGGTGATGAGAAATGGTATGCTTCTTTCTTTCAGGTTAGGCTGAGAACTAGAGAGAGAGAGGGAACCCCCATCTTCTTGGCCACCTGCCTGGACTAGATAGAGTTTCTAAAATACAGAGCTGTAGTGGCAGGGAGGAGGAAACAAGGGAAGGGAACAGGTTGTAGATCAAATGCTACAAACTTCTGTGTTCTTAACCAAAATATGTTAGTTTGTTTGTTTGTTTTTTGAGACAGAGTCTCCTCTGTTGCCCAGGCTGGAGTACAGTGGCGCCATCTCATCTCACTGCAACCTCTGCCTCCCAGGTTCAAGTGATTCTTCTGCCTCAGCCTCCAGAGTAGCTGAGATTATAAGCATGTGCCACCATACCCAGCTAATTTTTTTGTAGAGATGGGGTTTCACCATGTTGGCAGGTTGGTCTTGAAAAACTCCTGACCTCGTCATCCAACCACCTCGGCCTCCCAAAGTGCTGGGATTACAGGTGTGAGCCACCACACCTGGCCAAATTTTCTTGAATAAATTTTTCTCCGTTTGCTATATGCCCTTTAGACAATTTGCAGAGACTAAATTATATTTTATAATTTTTACCAGTTAAAATGTTGTTTTGCTGGAAAAAGGGTATGCCAGCCTCCTTACTCCACCATCTTAGAAATCCTGCTTTGGCTTGAACATTTTATAAGAAAACTCAATAATCCTTTTGAGCTAAACTTCAATTTTTTTTTTAACATTGATGTTTAAAAGCACAGGAAGAATACAGGAAAGACTATACATATATACACACCTTTAGGTAATACACTCTCTTGCTTTAAAGTATCCCAAGAATTTGCGAAGCAAAACCTTAACTTCTCAGTCCCTCTCTCTCCAAAGGTGACCATTTATTTTTAGTTTAATTATGTGTCCTTAGGTATTCTTCAGAACCTGCAGAAAGAGAGCCTCAGATTAAGGAAAAGTAAGTGATGTATGAACTGCTTCCATGAAAATCACTGCTATTTTTATTGTGTTTCTAGCCATTCATACTTAGAGAAATTCCTTACCGAGCAGATGATGGAAAGGAGGGAAGATGTATGGCTTCCACTCATCTCCTATAGAAATTCATTAGTCACTGGGGGTGAAGATGATAGAATGTCTGTGAACAGTGGAAGTAGTAGCAGCAAAACCTCATCAGTAAGGAATAAGAAAGGACGACCCCCACTTCATAAAAAAAGAGTAGAAGGTAAGTCTGCCTTTACACTTGAGACAAACAATTTGCCTGGTTTTATAAAGTAGCAAATAATCTGTTGAAGGAAGGTAATAGTATTAGGCACATGATTTCCTTGTATATTTGATTCACACTGAGAAGGCAAAAAGTTGGAATAGACAAAGTAAGACAGAAAAGGGTCAAAGAAAAAGAAGTTGAAGAAGCATGGAGCATAAAGGAGGACAGAGCAAGAGGAAACAATTAGCTAGGTCTATAAAGTTAATCCCCATACTATATGCCTCTAATACATTAAAATTTAAAGTAAGAGCTTTCTCCGCTTCGAGCTTCCAAGATGACAAAGAAAAGAAGGAACAACGGTTGTGCCAAAAAGGGCCGCGGCCATGTTCAGCCTATTTGCTGCACGAACTGTGCCTGATGCGTGCCCAAGGACAAGGCCATTAAGAAATTCCTCATTCAAAACATAGTGGAGGCCGCAGCAGTCAGGGATATTTCTGAAGCGAGCGTCTTTGATGCCTATGTACTTCCCAAGCTCTATGTGAAGCTACATTACTGTGTGAGTTGTGCACTTCACAGCAAAGTAGTCGGGAATTGATCTCGTGAAAACCGCAAGGACCGAACACCCCCACCCCGATTTAGACCTGCAAGTGCTGCCCCACGACCCCCACCAAAACCCATGTAAGGAGCTGAGTAAAAGATTGAAGACAACTATTCTCTGGAGAAAAAGAAAATGGAAATTGTACTTGAAAAAAAAATTCAAAGTAAGATAGTCACAATGCTATTGTATTAAAATTCTTTCTAACATAGGTGAGATACAGATAATTTGAGGGTAGATTTCTGCAGCAAACTGAATATACCACCAGAATAGTTTTCCAGTTTACCACTTGGTTGGAACAGTAAGACAGTGATGGCCTCCAGGTTTGGTGCCTCACACCTGTAATCCCAGTTACTTGGGAGGCTGAGGCAGGAGGATCAGGAAGTTGAGGCTGGAAATTTGAGACCAGCCTGGGAAACATAGCAAGACTCCCATCTCTAAGAAGAATTTTGTTAAAAATTGGTGGCATGCAACTGTAGTCCCAGCTACTTGGGAAGCTGAGGTGGAAGAATCACTTGAGCCCATAAGTTTGAGGTAGCAGTGAGCTATGATCATGCCACTGCACTCCAGCCTGGATGACAGAGCGAGACTCCCATCATTTAATCTTTTTTTTTTTTTTCCGAGATGGAGTCTCGCTCTGTCACCAGGCTGGAGTTCAGTGGCACAATCTCATCTCACTGCAACCTCTGCCTCCCAGGTTCAAGCAATTATCCTGCCTCAGCCTCCTGAGTAGCTGGGACTACAGGCACACACCACCACACCCAGCTAATTTTCATATTTTTAAAGATAGGGTTTCATCATGTTGGCCAGGATGATTTTAATCTCTTGACCTTGTTATCTGCCCACCTCGGCCTCTCAAAGTGCTGGGGTTCAGGCGTGAGCCACCATGCCCGGCCGGCCCGTTATTTAATTTATTTATAAGGCAGTAATGACTAAATCTGGTTTTATAAGCCTCTTGGACTCTGGGGAATAGGAAGTTAAAGTGTCATGAAAATCTCATCAATAGTAGGTATTCCTATATCTAAAAAAACTAAAAATTGCTCTGTTAAAACAAAGCATTCCTATTAAAATTACTAAGAGAAGCCTCAAAGTAATACTTATTTTCTCAAATAATATTCCCCCTTCTCCATGCTTCTAATAAGTTTTCTCCAAACCAAGTGGACGGCTGTGATCTGAGTTCTCTCTCTTGTTCTTTTTATAACTTCTCTTTTAGCATCTTACCTGTGCTGCCTAAAAAAATTACTCACTAAAGGTTTGGCTAAAATCTGTGGCAAAATTAATTCGAATTTAAATCTAATGATTCTTTTCACTGTTGGGGAGACAGTATTGACTATTGATGATCCTATAAATTATAACATCAGAGTTACAAAATGCATACCTAACCCTTCTCATTATCAGCTATGTGACCTTTGAGTATATTACTTAACCTCTCTAAGTTTCAATCATTGATCAAATAAAGGATGAGCAGAGTATTTCTCATGTCAGTTACTCTGTGAATGTTAAATGAGATACTAGAAATAAACCATTTAGTACATACAAAGTACTAAGCACAGTGCTTGGCACATAGGTAGCATTCAATAAATTATCCAAATGTATAGTAAATTATCCATTGTATAGTAATGCCTCATATCTAGCATCAGTAAACTAGGCAGCATCTATATTTCTTTTCTTTTTTTAACCTCTAGTTCATAGGAAACAACTGTATTTCAAAAGGAATAAAAGAATTAATATAAATGTTACTGTTAAATTTAACAAAATCTCCACAAAGTTTAAGATTTCCTTTCAAATTACAGGTTTGGGACTTAAAAGTCTTTTTTTTTCTTTTTTTTTTTTTTGAAACAAAGTCTCACTCTTATCCCCCAGGCCGGAGTGCAGTGGCGCAGGTTCAAGCAATTTCCTCCTGGGTTCGAGCAGTTCTCCTGCCTCTCAGCCTCCTAAAGTGTTAGGATTAGAGGCATGAGCCACCGCACCCAGCCTTAAAAGTCTTTTTTAAAAGTCCAGAGAAAGAAAATGTAAAATCTTGTCTTTGTAATATTGGAGCCTGGACTTTTCTCTAAAGGATGACTACAGGCATTTTCCCTTTTTTTTTTTTTTTTTTTTAAGATGGGGGTCTCCTCCCTCTTGTTTCCCAGGCTGGAGTGTAATGGCCTGATTTTGGCTCACTGCAACCTCCACCTCCCAGGTTCAAGTTACTCTCCTGCCTCAGACTCCCAAGTAGCTGGGATTACAGGCACCCACCACCACTCAGCTAATATTTGTATTTTTAGTAGAGACAGGGGCTCACCATGTTGGCCAGGCTGGTCTCAAACCCCTGACCTCAAGTGATCCACTCACTTTGGCTTCTCAAAGTGCTGGGATTATAGCCTTGACCCACTGCACCCGGTGTGTGTGTGTGTGTGTGTTTTTTGAGACGGAGTTTCTCTCGTTACCCAGGCTGGAGGGCAATGGCGCGATCTCAGCTCACCGCAACCTCCACCTCCTGGGTTGAGGCAATTCTCCGGCCTCAGCCTCCTGAGTAGCTGGGATTACAGGCACTTGCCACCGTGCCCAGCTAATTTTTTGTATTTTTAGTAGAGACGGGGTTTCACCATGTTGACCAGGATGGTCTCGATCTCTTGACCTCATGATCCACCCGCCTCGGCCTCCCAAAGTGCTGGGATTACAGGTGTGAGCCATCACGCCCAGCCTTTTTTTTTGTTTTTTTTTAGAGAGACAGGATCTCACTGTGTTGCCAAGGCTGGAGTGTTTTCCAGCTGCAAGCTCCCTGGCTTAAGCAATTCTCCCACCTCAGCCCCCAACTAGCTGGGACTATAGGCGTGCGCCACCGCACCTGGCTAATTTTTGTATTTTTGTAGAGACAGGGTTTCACCATGTTACCTAGGCTGGTCTTGAACTCCTGGACTCAAGTGATCCACATGCCTCAGCCTCCCAAAGTGTTAGGATTACAGGCATGAGCCACCGTGCCCGGCCATTCTTCAGTGTAATATTCTTATTAGCCAACATTCATCAAATCTTTGCTATGTACTAGGAATATGTTTTAACATGGGTTATATCACTTAATCATTTATTTGACTAATATTTGTAAACCACTTAAGTGTCTCTGACACATATAGTGAATGACATGTAAGTGCATAAAGGTCTTATAAGTCAATGCTATTATCTAAATTTTTCACAAAAGAAACTAAAGCTTAGAGAATTTAGCCATAATGTTCACTAATGGTGCAGTCAATATCATTTTCAAGATTAAGAGAAGCTTATGTGGACCAGATAACGTAATTTGTTTAAATTACAAAAAAGAAAACTTCTTTGTCATTTGATTTACAAAATGATTAAGATGGGTTGCACTGCAGAACCCTTAGGGTGCAGAGTTTCATCCTTCAGAGATGTAAATGAGAAAGTATTACAAGAAATATTTTCATTGAGGAATCTCTAAAGGATTAGAAGCAGCTATTTAAGAGGAGTGAATTCATCCTGGGATTATCCATTCATTCATTAAGTTTCCGCCAAGTGCCTTCCTAAGAACTGCACCAGTTGCAACAGATTAGGTATTAATCTGCTGTGAGTGCAGATAGAAAGAGGGAGAACAGAAACAGGCTGATGGATTTCACCATGGTCAGTGCTCTGATGCACCAAACACAGGTGGTTCTGGGAACATATAGACAGTGACCAAACTTTTAATGAATACAGAAAAATTTTTCTGGAAAAGATGACACGTAGTAGACAGCTGACAGATGAGTTTACCAGGTTCAGAACCTAAGTGATAATAATCTTTTTATCATAAAATTTTAAGTGTCATAGAAAATAAAAGTTTTGAATTAAATGTTGAATGAAGTGTTATGAACAGATGATGAAACGGGTCTTCGTTAACTAAGAAGAGATTCCATAGTGAGCTTCAGATTAGAGGAATTAATTTAACCAGACAATGGGTATTTCCAGGCACAGAAAAGCCAATCTAGAATGTACACGTGTCTAACAAAATATCAGAAACCTGAGAAATAGGATGCTCGATGGCAAAGGATGAATCTAACACACACATCTCTGAGACTTAAGGAGAGGAAAAGCAATGGGATTCATATTATACATTGTGATTAAAATTCTTGAGAAGGAAAACCAAAGCAGTAATACTTTTTAAGAAGCCTTATCATATTTAGAATAATTTAGAATGTTTGTAGAAACTTGGCTGAGGATAGTAGCTCATGCCTTTAATCCCAGCACTTTGGGAGATGGGTGGATTGCTTTGAGCTCAGGAGTTTGAGAGGCAACACAGGCAACCTAGGCAACACAGCAAAACCCCATCTCAAAAAAATAAATAAATAAAATAAAAACTTTAGGTAATATTTTATCAGGATAGTTTGTAAATAATGCTTTAACCTGCTCAAATCTTTATAAACCATCTTCACCTGGGTGCATTGGTGCATGCTTGTAATCCCAGCACTTTGGGAGGCCAAGGCAGGTGGATCACCTGAGGTCAGGAGTTCGAGACCAGCCTGGCCAACATGATGAAACCCCCGTCTCTACTAAAAATACAAAAATGAGCTGGATGTGGTGGTGGGTGCCTGTAATCCCAGCTGCTTGAGAGGCTAAGTCAGTAGAATCACTTGAACCCAGAGGCAGAGGTTGAAGTGAGCTGAGATCTTACCACTGCCCTCTAGCCTGGGCAACAGAGCAATTTCTATCTTTAAAAAAATTTTTTTAAAGAATGGTAAATGGGGATTCAGTAGGGGTAATCAGGGAAGGCTTCTCTGAAAGACGTAGAGGCATGAAAATGGTGTACCTCTCAACCCATCTCCACATGTATAACTTGGCAAAAAGTTATTGATCAATGTCCAGTTGTGCAAAGGGATTTGCTTATTTCTCCACAAAAGCCAATCAGACTTTAATTGCTACTGACTGGAACCCCTTCGAGGCCCAGGAAATAGGCCTTTTGTTGCTTGAGCAAAGAAAAGCAGGAGAGGTCTCCGGCTGGCTGCAATCTTCTTCTAGGATGAATGAATCTTTATAGATGGAGGGACTTAAAGAGATGATGATGTGATGATAGCTAACATTCAGTGGTTACATACACTACCTCATTTAGTCCCTAAAACTTTGTGAGGTTAGGTAATGATGTCCCCATTGTATATATGAGAAAACTCAACTTTGGAAGTTTAATGACTTACACAAAGTCATATAAATAAGTGGTGGAACTGGGATTTAAAATAGGCAGTTCTAATTGCAGAGCCACACTCTTCACAACTCTATGCTATAACTGTAACCAGAGTTCACTCCACCCACGATATTCTGTGACCCTAACTGGAATTTTACAGATGAGAGTCTGGATAACACATGGCTTAACAGGACTGACACGATGATTCAGACGCCTGGCCCCCTGCCAGCACCACAGCTCACATCCACTGTACTGCGGGAGAACAGCCGGCCCATGGGAGAGCAAATTCAAGAGCCCGAGTCTGAACATGGTTCTGAACCAGACTTTTTACACAAGTAAGTAGCAAAAATTAGTCGTCTTGGCAAAAAAAAAATTTAAAGAAGGTAAAACTATTTAATAAAAACTTTATTTGTTCATGAGAAATGAAGCCACAAAGGGTAAGCACTTTATGTAAGAAGAGCTATAAAAAGTCTGCAAACATTTTTGGGGATATTAGTTCCTGGAAGTTCACAGATCTTTAAATGTATGGTGTCTTACCAAGTGCTAATTTTCGTCTGAGTGTGCATTTTCATTGGACAGGTCTGTTTCTTCTCAGGGACTTGCCCAGAAGATAATGCAGGTTACTTCCTTGAAAACCTGTAAGAGCTTATGTTATCAGTAGTCTGAACACCAAATAAATAGACTGTATTACCTTTATCATCCATTTAATTAATATTTTGTCTTGTTACATTTATGTTTTAAACTCAAACTTCTCAGGGATTAAGAATTTTTAAAATCTAACTTGATAAATTCTGAGAATAGTTGCCCTCAAAAAGAGAATCAAGGTCTTACTTTTCTCAATGCTTGTAATTAAAATGTTTTCTAGTACACAGGCCTCTGAAAATTGTAGAGAAGGCAGAGAGTGATGGTGTGTTTTGCTTATAAAAATCTTAACTTATTGTTGTTTTCCATCCAACTTTGAAATTCTCTGAGCTCCTCACTTGTGTTTCTATGTATAGTGAAGTAATGCTGTGAATTACTCTGATGGATAAGAGGAAGAACTCTTACTTGAACTGAACAAATTTAGTTAGCTTGAAAATAGACAGTGTTAGAAGTATCAAATTCTGGGTTTTCATAAGGTCCCTTTGCTCTAAAGGATCAGCCTTCAAACCCAGGAGGATACTCACTGTCAGCCATGGTAAAACTGGGCATTCTTGTGCTGCTGAGTGTCCTAGAAGGTGGTTTGCCTTATGGCCAGCATCCCTAGATGAGTGACCTAACCAGTATCCCCACCCCTTTCCTACAAGGTGAGTTTCTCCTTGTTTTAGCAGCCTGCCTTGCCTCTCTGACCTTAGCGTTTGTCAGTCCCTGTGGCCATGGTCTGCCTTCTTTTCCCTGTTCCAGGTTTATAGGTTTTAGTACCACATGATATAAAGACAGTTACTTAGACACAACTTCATGTGGCAGTTTGTATTAGCTAAAAAAATCACTAAATTTTAAATCCTATAAAATTCCCAGCTGGACATGGTGGCTCTCACCTTTTAATCCCAGCACTTTGGGACGCTGAGGCGTGTAATCACTAGAGTTCAGGAGTTTGAGACCAACCTGGGCAACATGGCAAAACCCAATCTCAGCAAAAATATACAAAAATTAGCCAGGCATGGAGGCATATGCCTGTGATCCCAACTTGCTCAGAAGGCTAAGGAATAAGAATTGCATTGAACTCAGGAGGTAGAGGTTGCAGTGAGCCAAAATTGCACCACTGCACCCCAGCCTGGGTGACTTAGTGAGACTGTCTCAACAACAAAAAAAGAAAATTAGCCAGGCGTAGTGCCACATGCCTGTGGTCCCAGCTACTTGGGAGGCTGAGGTGCGAGGATCACTTGGAGCCCGGGAGGCAGAGGTTATAGTGAGCCGAGATCATACCACTGCATTCTAGCCTGGGTGACAGAGTGAGACCCCATCTTAAAAAAAAAAATTCCTAAGAGGCATGTTGATGCACATTTCCATGTGACAGTAAGTTTAGAATACAAGTCGAGATTTGACTCCATAAAGACTGAGAAAAAATGCTATATTCTTCCTTGCTGAATTCTGGAGAGCCTGAGCTGCCAGGCCAACATAATTTCTGTTAGTTAGGGGTCTGCTATCCGGCTAGGTACACCTGTGAGTGGGGCAGCAGCCCAAGACAGAGGTCTGAGGACCCTTGTTTGGCAGAGATTTGGGGAACAAAGTTGATAGTTTAAGCATCTAACAATTAGCCTCAGCCAGCCTCTCTTGGAGACTTACAGATATCTTTGGGCAACTTACTGCCTTTTTTATAAAAAGGCACCAGAATAAATCCAGCTAATTCCTCCTACATGGGTTTAAGTGAACCTACCTTGGCTTTCTTAGCATGGAGCTCATTAGCTAAATTCATCATCTGCTGCCACAAAATTAATAATAGCATCCTCTTTTAGTCCTCAGATGCAGATCTCTTGGTTAGGCCAGCCGAAGTTAGAAGACTTAAATCGGAAGGACAGAACAGGAATGAACTACATGAAAGTGAGAACTGGAGTGAGGCATGCTGTGTAAGTGTTACATTGAGTATCACAAGAACCTAACAACTATGTGATGCCTGTTATTTTGTGAAATGACTTGGGTCCATCTTTGATGTTTGGTCTTAGGACTTAAAATTATAATTCTTATTATGCTGTGCAGCATAGGATAGGAAAGGAGGGCAATGGGTTCTTAACACTTTCAGCATTTAAATCCTAGTTCTGCCCCTTGGCAGCTGCATGGCCGTGGGCAAGCTCTAAAACATCTGTGCTGGCCGGGCATGGTGGCTCACACCTGTAATCGCAGCACTTTGGGAGGCCAAGGTGGGCAGATCACTTGAGATCAGGAGTTCAAGACCAGCCTAGCCAACATAGTGAAAACCCATCTCTACTAAAAGTACAAAAATTAGCCAGGCATGGTGGTGGGCACCCAAATCCAAGCTACTCAAGGGGCTGAGGAATGAGAATCGCTTAAACCCAGGAGGCAGAAGTTGCAGTGAAGCGAGACCACACCACTGCACTCCAACCTGGGTGACAGAACGAGACTCCGTCTCAAAAAATAACAAAAAACAAAGGTTCCTCATTTGTAAAATTAGTATGATAATAGTACCAATAAGAATTTTAGAGGAATTGACACATAGCTAAATAAATGTTAACAACCGTTGTTATTGAATCTAAAATTGTACTTCCTTTTGATGTGTGAGATGAAATCTTCAATGAACCAAAGGAATGATTCTAAATTGTCTTGGGGTTCAGTATAATAATTTATGTAGTCTGCAGGTCATGATTAGAAGGTATACTTGAGTTGGTTAGAAGAGCTAATCTGAGAAACAGCCAGGCCTCCAAATGGTGGAGACTGATTAGCTTTCTGACTATACCTTTTTCTTATCAGTCGGGGTCTAATGGAGGAAGATGCTGAGCCCATCTTTGAAGATGTGATGATGTCATCCCGAAGCCAGTTAGAAGATATGAATGAAGAATTTGAAGACACCATGGTTATCGATCTGGTAGAGAAATCACATTTTTCTTTTGTTAAAATATGTGGGGGCATTGGTGTAAGGTGATCTTCTCAGGCCAGGTACAGTGGCTCACACCTATAATCCCAACACTTTGGGAGGCCGAGGCGGGTGGATCACCTGAGGTTGGGAGTTCCAACCTGACCAATATGGAGAAACCCATCTCTACTAAAAATACAGAATTAGCTGGGCATGGTGGCACATGCCTGTAATCCCAGCTACTCGGGAGGCTGAGGCAGGAGAATAACTTGAACCAGGAGCTGGAGGGTTGTATAAGTCGAGATCGTGCCGTTACATTTCAGCCTGGGCAACAAGACCAAAACTCAGTCTCAAAAGAAAAAAAAAAAAAAAATCCTCTTATTCTCAGAATTCTGGGAGGGTGAGATGAGGAAGAGGTAACATTGACCAACAACAGTGGGCATTTGGATGAGCTTGGATGTTTTTCAAGCCTGCTTTCAAAGCAGTCATATTTTGAATTCTGGCAATAACAGAAACTAGTTCTTTCTTTTTACCTTCTTAGAAGAGAGCTCATACCAGATTTCTCTCAGCACAGCATGTATATCTGGCCTCTTGTGCTTTAAATTTGAACCTGACAAAAATCCACTGTGCTTCAGCATAACTAAATGCCTATTATGGGACTTATTCAGTATGAGAAGACATGTTTGAGATATAACCATAGATGATACAAAGAACTTATTTTTTTTTAGGAATAATAATGCATGGTGGTTATGTTTTTTCAAAAGCTCTCATCAGTTATAGATAACACATTGAAGTAGTTACAGGCGAAACTACGTAAGGAAGAAAAAACAGACTCAGTAGAACAGGATTGGCCAAATGTTTGAAAATTTTTGAAACTGGGCGATGGATACATAGAAATTCATCATACTGCTTTTTCTGTGTATTTGCTAAGGCTGCCTTAAATACCACAGATGGAGTGATTTAAACAGATCTTTATTTATTTATGAGAAAGAGTCTCCCTCTGTCACCCAGCCTGGAGTGCAGTGGTGCGATCTTGGCTTACTGCAACCTCTGCCTCCCAGGTTCAAGCGATTCTCCTTCTCAGCCTCCCGAATAGCTGGGACTACAGGCATGTGCCATCATGCCCAGCTAATTTTTGAATTTTTAGTAGAGACCAGGTTTCACCATGTTGGCCAGGATGGTCTCACTCTCTTGACCTTGTGATCTACCCACCTTGGCCTCCCAAAGTGCTGGGATTACAGGTGTGAGCCACCATACCTAACCCAGAAATTAATTTTTTTATCACATTTTTCGAAGCTAGAAGTCCTGAGGTGAAGGTGATTTCTTTTGGGGCTTCTCTCCTTGGCTTGTAGATGGCTGCCTTCTTCCTTTGCCTTTAGATGGTCTTTCCTGTATGTGTGTCTCCCCTTCTTATAAGGGCCCCAACTATATTCAATTAGGGTGCACCCATATGACCTCATTTTACCTTAATTACCTCTTTAAAGGTCCTGTCACCAAATACTGGTTTGTTCTGAGGTACTGAATCGGGACTTCAGTATACACATTTTAAAAGGGACATAATCAGCTCATAACATTCTGCTTTGTATGTTGTGAATTTTCCATGATGAAAAGTTTTTGTAAGTTTTGTAAATATAAATGAGATCATATTATTACTCCAATCTATAACCTCCCTGCCCCCACTTCCCACCTTTCCATTTACCTGCTTCGGGGTATTCAGAGATTTATCACCTAGTATTTAATCAATTTTATAATTTTTCTGTGACTTTAAAGGGAAGATATGTCCTGGGCATATAGGCCCAAAGTTATTTATATGTATTTACATGTTCAGTTTATTTATTGTAACTTGGAAGTTTTACACGTTGTTTTTGCCAACATAATTAAAAGCCAGAAGTAGTATTTTAAAAATCTGTTTCATATAAAAGCCAGATTCTCTTCTTCCTTTCAAAATTGACTCTTAGCAGTTCCATGTATTTATGATACTGTCAGAAATATTAGCTGATTATCACAATTCATTATCTTAATTTCAGAAAAAAATTAAGAAACCGATTTCTCTTTTCAGCCTCCATCAAGAAATCGGCGCGAGAGAGCTGAGCTAAGGCCAGACTTCTTTGACTCTGCAGCTATCATAGAAGATGATTCAGTAAATGTTAATTACTACTTTTTGTTTATGGTTTCTGGGTCCTGTTTATGCATGAAATTAATAATTATGTTTCTCATCATTTTTCTAGGGATTTGGAATGCCTATGTTCTGAAGTCTGAAGAAAATTTACAAATCTGGAACTCTATTATTTAGAGCTAGAGGCCTATATACTGTGATAGCTTGTATGGGGAAAAACACTTTTGATGTGATCTGATTTGTTTTTTAATCAAATGATTAAGGTCAGTTCCTTTTTGCAGTGACAGAAGAGGAGCATGTAAATTACCCAAGGGAATGTTGGTGAATGTCAACTCAGAAAGACTGACCTGAAAATCATTTGAGTCCTACTATTGGACTTATCCCAATACAGATGTGTGTGTTTTTCTGGAGGGAGGAAGAAATTTTAAATTTTTAAAACAGCTGTCAAGATAAACACTGTTATACACCTGTTTTATGAAAACTCAACATTGAGTAAAAAAAATATTTTTAACTTTATTTTCCTGTTGTACAATTTAAAAACCGTTTTAACATTTTGCCTTTTTATGTTTTAAAAGCTAACCATTTTTATTAAACCTATGAGTAAGCAGTTCATCCTAATTGCTGAAGAGTGTTTTGGAGCTCACTGGATTTGGTTGACCTTGTGGAACACAAATATGAAGGAGCAGAACATTGACAAGCTAAGACGAAATTCTGATACAGTGCATCTCTGCCAAAAACCACACACCCTCTGTGGATATGGATATGAATTCCCAGATTTTATATACTCTTGAATAAAAAGGTTTATTTTTATTTATAAGTGGGCATAAAATAAGAAATGTCCTTGCAGCCATTTTTCCAACAGATGCTGTACACCGTTCATTTTATATAGACTAGGGAGATTCGAATACAGTGCATTTTCTATTGGTATTTGTTCTGTGCATTTTTAGCAACTTCTACCAGCAAATAAAGTATTCTCAGTAAAACAAAAATGGTTCTCAAGTTATCAGTTTGCTGTTTTTACCACTTATTTCATGCCCTGCCAAATTCAAGTTACACAGATTTCCGTTTTCTTAAGATAATCATGAAGAAATCCTTTATCATTCAAAAGTAATTTTAAGTGTAACATAACTGTGTCTACTTCCCATGCACTTAATACCCTTATGCGCTAATTTTGTGAATTAAGTTTACTGATTATAGAAGTATGTGCCGCATAGAAGTCTGTGCTTAGAGGGTGAAGTTCCTAAGCTTACCTTGAATTACAGCTACATTTCAGTGTTAAATGTGCATATTAAGAATACTTCTTTTGGGGAAAGAAATTATGAATCTTCAGGACAGTCTACAATGGTTTAGAGTTACATTCTGCCTAGACTCTTACGACTTGCTGCTATTGTTTTTAAAAGCCCGCTTAGTTTCTTCCTTTCTGATTTCTAAAGTAAGCCTCAGAATTTCCAAACCAATCCATCCACAGCTGTTCTGGGCTGGTTTTTAAAGTAGCTGCAACAGAATCATGAGGCTTTCCCTTTTTATGAAATACGAAAAATGTTTTTAAAAATTCTGCGCACCCAGTGATCATCTTTTGTGCGGGAAAGCAAGATGGATGATTTTATTCATCCTTTTAGTAAACAGACATGAAACATTTTTCTCAACATTTGTACAGTTCTGAAAAACTTGGTCACCAAAAATGTTTTCTCTGCTAATTCAGCAATTCTTGGGCTCCAGTTAGTTAGGGGAGCTGGGGCATCAATTTCTCCCAGAATTGTGGGCTTCACTAGAAGTGAACGTGCAGGAATGACTGGACTGTCTACCCCAGCCCTGCCTCCCTGTGGTTTTGGCCGGGGAGCAAGCTGTG